TGGATGGATGGACGGATGGTATTATATACTCAAAAATTTTGTCTGTCTCACTGCCTAGTTTTGAAGACTGTCCTTCAGTTTGTGCTTCTTGCAATTATTCAAAGGACTGCTTTTTTTTTTTTGGTCTGTAACTCTACCTTTGTTCAAAGAAAAGTACCAAACAAAAGTAGGTGATTTATTTGATTACTGCCCACCGAGTTATTTTTCTACTGCCAGTCTCAGTGTCATGTCTTAATCACCTGAAATCATGCTTCAAGATGTCTTGATAGCTCTTTTGGTAATTAGGGTGTTCTGCATTTGTGTGCTGTCTGTATGCCCTTGAAGTGTTTTGCGTATGAAGCCCACACTAGAGCTGTGAGTTCTGTTTTATTGTGATGATAATGAATGTATGAAGAACTCAGTAGAATTCAGCCCAGTCTCCAAGTTTGTTCTTCAGCTGGAGGAAACTGGCCATTATTGTCTGAAAAAAAACCGAACAAACCCCAGAGCTTTATTGGGATGCAATTCATATACCATAAAATTCGCCTCTTTAAAGTTTACGATTTAATATTTTTTAATATATTCCATAGAGTTGTGTAACCATCACTGTCATATAATTGCAGGACATTTTGTATCATCTCCCCAAAAACACCATACTCGTTAGCAGTCACACCTCATTGTCCTGTCTTTCTGCATTTGCTTGTTCTGAATATTTCACATAAATGGAATCCTACAATATGTGGCCTTTGTGTGCCTGGCTTTGTTTACTTAGTATGGTGTTTGAAAGATTCATCCTTGTACTAACATATTTCAGTACTTCATTCTTTTTTTATAGCTTGATAATGTTCCATTATAGCACACTTTGTATCAGTTGATGGACATTTTGAAGGTTATTTCCATTTTTTGGCGATGATGAATCATGCTGCAGTGAACATTCATGTACAAATTTTTGTGTTGACATATATTTTCAATCCTGATAAGATGTGACCTTATAGGATTCAATTATTGACTTTAGATTACAAATGAATTAAAAAATGTTATTCATGGATAATGTAAGTACGGAAATTGTAAATGTTCATCTCAAGTGGTATTTATAAAGTGAGCACACCCACGTAATAAGAGCCAGGATCTAGAAAGGGAACGTTTGCCAGTATCTTTTTTGGTGTTTGCTTTGGTTCAGGTTATCTAAATTTACTTGTACACTCTGGGAGAGCTGAAAGCTTATCTTACCTGTGTGTTTGGAACATAAGTTCAGTAGGTAGCTTATGTTCTAGTGGTACACTGGTTGAGGGGATGGACTTTAGGGCCACAGCTGCTTGGGTTCAAATCCCGGCTCTACCACTTAGAGCTGAGAGACCATGAGCACGTTACTGAGCATCTCTGTGCCATAATTGCTCATCTGTTGAATGGAGATAAAACAACTCACGGTGTATTACTGTAAGTAAATTGCTTGAAAATTGCTGATAATCATATCAAATGCTGTATGTGTCTTACCTATTATTCTGATTATTGTTGCTTTTGTGTATCTCCTCACTAGAGTATCAGCCCCTTGTCTGACTTATTTATCACTGTATTCCCAAAGACTAGCACTGTGCCTCTTTTGAGAAAGGAAGGAAGGAAAGGATTTTAAATAATGAGTGGCAGAATTCCTAAATTCTTTCCTGAAACTGCTTGTGACAGCTACACTGTCTTTTATTTACAACAGCTTTTGGAGCTATTTGACAGCGAAGACCCTCGGGAACGGGACTACTTAAAAACAGTCTTACACAGAATTTATGGCAAGTTTCTTGGTCTTAGAGCATTTATCCGAAAACAGATTAACAATATTTTTCTAAGGTAAGTGGAGGGTGGGGGGAGAAGGAGAAGCAAAGTTGGTGGTTTTATAGAAGTATTAAGTAAACCTCAAATATTGGAATATAGTGTTTTGACCATTTCCTTTTCTCTTCCCTTTCTCTCTCTCTCTTTTTTTAGGTTTGTTTATGAAACAGAACACTTCAATGGTGTAGCTGAACTGCTGGAAATATTAGGAAGGTAAGCACATTTTTAGCTAGTTGCTAATTTCAGGTGAATATCGTTGTGAAGATTAGGTTTGGGTGGCACAGGGAAATGCTGCCCTAGATCTCTTGCTGTGTGTACAGCAGGGCTCTCTCATTTGTGCTTCTAGCACGTTTTCCAGCTGACTCTACAAGACACAGTTTCATGTTCCCCGTGTTCCACAATTATGCATTGCTAATTCTTCTGGAATGACTGAAAGAACTAACAGTCTATTCCTTACTGTAGACCCAAGGCATCTAATCGCCGTCAGGCTAGTTTCTCTAAAACATCTTATTCTTACCAGTTTCTAGGCTCCCTGTCCTCTGCCATATCTTTTGAAAGTAAGTTTGTAATAAATTGGAAAGATTCCTATTTTCAAAGGAACCGTGTCCCCAGGTGTAGTTCTTGGAACAGTTGCTGCCTGGAGTAGTGGAGTGAATTGGAAAGAGCCAGCTGTTGTGTGGGCTTCTACACACAAGGGAGGCTAATGTAACTGGACAATGTGATTTGCCTCTCCTCCTAATAGGAGGGGAAAGAGAAGCTGGACTCAGATGGTTCTCTCGGTGACTTCCCTTGGCTGGGCTTTATATCCAGGGGTGTTCTTGATCTGAGCAGAGATTTCAGGGATGGGAAAGAATGATATCTGGAAGTGGAAAGGGTCATCAGCGAGCAGGGCAAGCCATAATTTGGGGAAGGAAGAGAGGGACGGAAGAATAAAGAGTTGTTGATACAAAAGCTCTTGGGAACCATTTGACTAGGTATAAGAGCTCAGGAGCCTTTGCTGGGAGATCTTAAGCAAATTTCCTTCTTTTAAATTTCCTTCCTATTTAAATATGTGCTTTAAAAAAATTAATTCATTTTTAATGGAGTAGTTAGGGATTGAACCCAGGGCCTCATGCATGCTAGGCATGTGCTCTACCACTGAGCTATATCCACCCCCCTTAAATATGTTCTTTAAAGCAACTTAGGAGTCTCGAATGTCACTAGGGTAGGTTTTGGGTTGTTCTGTTGAAAACTGATTAAGATTTAATGTGATCTCACAAGAACAGTGTCTCAGTTTAGCTTGTTGTGGTAACATTGCTAACTCATGTCTCTTTCCTTTTCCCTAGTATTATCAATGGCTTTGCTTTACCTCTTAAGGCGGAACACAAACAGTTTCTGGTGAAAGTGTTGATCCCTTTACACACTGTCAGGAGCTTATCACTCTTCCATGCCCAGGTAGAATTTTATACTACTACTTTTGGAAGCAAAATAAAGTTTGTAAACCCAGTGTTTTACTGATATAGTTATTTACTTAACTTAAACAAACAAAAGGTTTGTTGAAGTTTATAATAGTCCCCAAGTCAAATTAAAATGTGTTTATACTTTTCTGTGTATACGAGAATCATGGGGCTATTTTTCAATTGGGAGGAGCATTCATTCGTTTAATTGTCTCATTTTACAGAGAACTTAGATACTTGCCCAAGTTCAAACAAGTACATATTCAGCACGTTGCGTGTAATAAAATTTATGGGCTTTTTGGATTTAGACCTTCGGACATGTGTAATCGTTTTGGAATGATCTTAGATCTTTTGTCTTATCCTCATTTTGCATTAGACTAACCTTGCCCTTTGCCCCCTCTTCTGGTTCACTCACCATTCCTTTCTCACTTTCTATGTGCAAATAAACACTCTCACAAGTAAACAAATCAATCAATATTTTCACTTATTTTTATTTTTAGCCTCCATTACTTCAAAAAGCATACCCTGTCTTGTCCCCACTCTCATTTCCCTGCTAACACAGCCTTGCATGGTAAGCATGTCACCAGCCAGTAGATAAATGACCTAGTGGCGTTTTAATTTTAGCATTTCAAACCTCTGACTCCCTCTCCTCCCCCTCCCCCCACTGGGAATGTTTTGATTTTGCTTCAAAGTGTAACACATTTTTCTGAGTGCTGATCCTCTTTAAATGTGAAATTCTGTGTTTCGAGGAAAAATTAGCCCATATGCTTGTAATTTAGAACACCATCAAAATGTTGTTTCGCAAGAGTGGATTTCTTGTCCAAGAATCTTTACGAGCCCTTTTGCAGATCTTGCCTCCAGTTTTTTAAATAGGCAATCATCCTTTATGATGATTTAAAAAAATTCTTTACCTCAGTAAGTTTGCATCAGACGTAGAACTCTGTTTGTCCAGGTTCTAACTGTGGCAGGTACAACCCTTTATCTCTTCATGAAACGGCTTTGGTTTGCATGTGCCATTTCAGGCCGTGGGCAGTGTCTACTTGTCATTTAGGACTCTTTTGGAACCACAGTAAAACCCAGTACTGTTGATGTTCTGGCAAAGAAAAGAAACCTATGAGATGTAACTCAAAACTATGTGTAGATGAGAAACTTTCAGAATATACTGGATGTGATGTTTTACCTCTGCTTTTCATTAGCTGGATACTTCATGTCCCAATATTCTTTAAAAAATTTTTTCCCTGCAGCCTTGTTAGTGTCAGTCTTTGGCTTTAAAAAATAGCTTCACAATTTGCTTTAATACGTATTTTATTTTTAAATGAATTGAATGTGAAGTTATTAAAACTTTTTAGGGAGTTTTAATAATACGTCTCTGAGCCCTTGATGTATAGAATCTCTAACTGTGCCTCCCGTTTGCTTGTTTCTCCAGCTGGCATATTGCATAGTACAGTTTCTGGAGAAAGATCCTTCACTCACAGAGCCAGTAAGTGTTTTTCCCATAATTTCAGAAAACTTTAGAACGACCCCTGTTCATGGAGTACATGAGGAAAATTAAGTGCAATTTGTTTTTCTCCTTTTCATTTTAGGTTATTAGGGGGTTAATGAAATTTTGGCCCAAAACGTGTAGTCAAAAAGAGGTGAGTGTTCAATGTCAGTGTGTTAGTAGCTTCCTAGAGCACTGTGATAATAAGCACTTGTAAGAATGCATTATCCACTCTCATCTTCATTACAACTCTGTAACTCTAACTAGCCTCATTTTACTAGTTAGGAAGTTGGTATTTAGAGAGGTGAAGTCGCCTGCCCAGGTAGACTAAGCACAGGTGATTAGGCTAGAACCTGCCTCCCTGATTCCTAACCCTGGGCTTTTATCCTGTGCTGCTCAGCCCTAGGTTAGCCCAAGGCAGACCCCAGTCATGTGTCCAACTGTCAAGCTCCATTGATGTCCCCTTCTTAGTGACACTTGCATCATGTGGAGGTTTTGCTGTCACTATTGATAGACAGCCTTCCCAAATACCCACTTTATAGCATCATGTAGATGGGATCTTACTATGTACAATCTTAAAATACATTACAGACGTTTCATTTCAGCTGTTCACAAGTGGCCCTGGGAATCTCTGCCGTCCAGTCATTTGTACTTCTGCCAAGACCTAACCCGGCATGTGCCGTGTGAAGTGGTTGTGGCGGAGTGAGTCTCTTAGCTTCGAAGTGAGCCTAGCTGGACACCAGATCTGTCCCCACTTTTCTGAAAGGTTAGGAACCATATGGAAAGTGGCCCAGAAAAAAAGCTGAGCTGTTAGTTTTACATTTGGCGATTATTTGGGAAGAACTTCAGTATGTTCCTTAACAAATGGCAAGGGTCTACTATATTTTGCTTTTAACAGAAACACCTTCCTTCTCAAATCAGCTTCAATTCTCCAAAACCGTCCTTTACACAATTTCAGAAAATCATCTCATTTCTTAATGCCTGCTAGGTAAGATTACACTATGCATTGCTACTCAGTTGCATCTCAGGATATGAAAACATTGTCCTTTTTCATATTTTAATCGCATACTTTTTTTTTCTAATTATCTTTTCATGCCTAAATAGGAAAATGGTTTATATTTTTCTGTCAGTTTTTCGTTATATTTAAAACAATTGACTACACTATTGATTTGGCTCCATTTGGGATCTAAAAGCTGTATTTTGAGGCACGTGGTGCTGAGGCCATGAGATTCTTTGTGCTCTGTAGTGAGCAAGTGTGTGCATGTGTACGGATGTGGGGATGTGGAGAGGGAGTCAGCGTGTGCTGAAGGGTTTAAAGTGACACCTGTGTGTGGATGAATCTGCTCATCTGTGTCTGTCTGACTTTGTGTGTAACTGGTGTCTCCTAGAGGAGCACCTGGTACATAGCAAGGGCTATAATATAAATGTTTGGCAGATAGTCACACGTGCCTCTGTGGACTTTGTGCCTCCATGCAGGAGGGCCACTTGCCCACTGTTTAAAAAACACGAGGGAGGGGAGGAGCGCCCCACAGGGCCAGTCCCGTTTCCTAGGGGCACTGCTTCGGTGTGTAAATGCCCCTTGTTCTGTGTAGTAGATGTAGCACGTACTTTTCCCAAAGTAAATGGAATCATATTTTCAGTGCTGTAGGGAATTTGTTCTTAACAAGTACCCTCTGGTGAAGTGGTGAAATGAACATTTAACATAAGTTAAATCTTGATTTGTTCATGTTTGGTTTTATGTATGTATTTTTATTATATTAAAACAGTGTAAAACTCTCATGAATCCTCATCATCTGTATGGGGTTTTTGATGGAGCACCTGACACTTTGTGTTTTGCGTGTCCTTCCAGGTCATGTTTCTTGGCGAGCTGGAAGAAATATTGGATGTGATTGAACCTTCACAATTTGTTAAAATCCAAGAACCTTTGTTTAAACAAATTGCCAAGTGTGTATCTAGCCCCCATTTTCAGGTTGGTAATAAAGAGGGCAGGAGCTGGAGTGGCTTATACAACATGTATTATTTTGGTAAAGTTTTATTTGTATTGAAAGAGATACGGTGGACACGACCTACCTGCTGTTTTTGCTTACTGTGTTTTCACATGCTGATGATACATTTGATGATACCCACCTTCATCTTGAGCACCTGCTACAGTGACAGCCACCCTGCTGGTGCTTTCTGTCCAGTAACTTGACTTCTCATCACCACTCTGCGAGGAGGGCGTTTTGATTTTTACAGATGTCGACACTGCCAGTCAAACTGGCAGAATAACTTGTCTCGAGTAAAAGTGCTGAATGAGAGGTGGGCTGGTAGGGCCCCTACAGTGTGGAAGACAGAAAGCTAAATAAAGCTTCACTGAAAAAGAGAGCACTCCTATCTGTACTGTGCTAGATGCTCTACGTAAGTTATTCCAAAACTTCAAATTATCCTATGAGGCTTTCCCTCAACTTTCTAGATGAGAAGAATGAGGCTCAGAGGATGATTTGCTCAAGGTCCCAAGTTAGTGGGAAGTGGAGTCAGGGTGTGGCTTTGTAGCTGCTTGTGAGAGCCCGTGACCTTCCTGTGGCGCCACTCTGCCTCCTGGTGGCCACTCGGGGAGAGCGCAGGGAAGGCGAGCCTGGGCAGCTCTTTTCTCAGGTGGGGCCGTTTTAGCAGTGCTGCGGGACCCACCCGGGAGGGAAGAGGATGATCTGGGTTGAAATACAGTAGGTTTTGCACTTTGGCTGTCTCACCAAAGGTCCAGATCACAGGCCTAGAGAATCGACTCTTTATGTACTGCCTGTGGGGTTGAAGAGCTTGTTCAGGCTGAGGTTGGCAGCACGGAACCCACTGTCGACATGACATGGTGGACTTGACGGTGGACTTCTCCCCTGAATGTCGTTGTCCTGCATACTCAGAGACAGTGGCTGTAGTTGCTGTTTTAATTTTTGACCTGAAGATATCTTAGGATGTTAAGTCAGTGATCTTATGACAACCTCGCAAATGTACCACAACCCCCCACCAAAAAAGTAGAAACCATTACATTAACCATTACATTCAGATGATGTAACCCACGTCTAGATTTTTAAAAATGCAGGATGCTATGTAGATGTTTTTCATATTACATGTGGCCTGTGGTGCTCAAATTTCTGGATTGTTTGTTTTTCAGTTTTTATCAGGATGTTTGGTATAATGGGGTCAAAGAGCAATAATCTCTTTCAAAATGAGTAACACTGGGAAGCCTTAAATGATGCCCAGAAGCTTAGAAATGAGACAAAGTGTTTTGATCGGCTGGGGCCACTCTAACAAGGTAGCACAGGCTGGGCGGCTTACGAACAGCAGAAGTCCCTTATCACAGCTCTGCAGGCTGGCAGTGTGGGGGGCAGGGAGGCAGCGTGGGCCGTCTCCGGGGTCAGAGACCTCATGTGTCTTCACGTGGCAGAGGGGCTGGGGAGCTCTCGGGCGCCTCTTTTAAAAGGCACTAAATCCCATCATGTTTGGAGGTTAGGATCTCAATGTAGGAGTTTTGTGGGGAGACACAAACATTCAGGCGATAGCAGGCTTCCAGAACAAAACACCACAGACGGCGTGTCTTAAAGGACAGGAGTTGATTTCTTGCAGTTCTGGAGGCTGGGAGTCTGAGAACGGAGAGACCAGGGTGCCAGCGTGCTCTGCCTCTGGGAGGGCGCTTTCTGGCTCACACATCTCACTGTCCTCACGTGGCCTTTCCTTGCTGCAGGTGTGAGGAAAGAGAAGGAAATCTCTCTCTTCCTCTTTGTCTAAGGCCACCTAGCGTATTAGATTAGGACCCCACCCTCATGACCTCATTTAACCTTAATTACCTCCTATCTCCAAATACAGTCACACTGGAGGTTAGGACTTCTGCATGTGAATTTTGAGGGACAAGGAGGGTGGACACAATTCAGTCCATAGCAGAAAGGAAAAAGAAGTTTAAGTTATTGGACAGAAGTAAAACTGAGAACAAAAGAAAGGAGGAGAGTAGAGAGGTTCTTTGTTCATGCGTGTGTTCATTGGTTCACCCCATAAACCACTGTGCCACTCTGCGTAGTCAGATGCCGCTCACTACTTGCCCCAGGTGTGGCATTGGGTTATAAGGCTACGAGCCAGAAACGCTGTGACTGTGTGTGCAAGAGGACATGGGGTCCCAGGGAGGTAGTGGTCTGTCATATTGTCAAGACATGCTCATTTTTACTCTGCATAAACAATACTTTTCCTCTTGAAGGGGCTTTGCTGGATACTGACTTTCTTTCTGTAAGTGATTTTACATATTGATAAATAGATACATAGAGATTAGGATACTTGGTAGCATTAAGTGGCAGGTAAATGTTAGACCCATTGCTGGAGAAGCCTGGGGTCCCTCCTTAACTAGCATCCTCCTGTGGCCTCTTTAACACTTTCTCTGGTCGGTTGTAAGTTTCAGAACAGCCTCATCCCCATTCCTCCTCTCTTGGCCCTTTTCTTGCCTTGTGCTCTACCTGCCTCAGCCTACTTGTGCTTCGTGGTTTCTAGACACATTGTCCACGTTGACACCTCTGCCCTCCTTTCCTGTAGTTCCCTCAGTGCGGAATGCCCTTTGCTTCATCTCTTCATCCTTCAAAGCCCAGCTTAGACACTCCTGCCTGGGGGACATTTCTGCCACTCTTCCTCTCCCCCAGGTCGTCAGGACTGTTCTTTCTGCTCTTTCATCTGGCGTTTTAGTTCTGTATCTGATGCATTTGTCACAGTTTACATTGGAATGGAGATGGTGGAACCCCCCTTCCCTACCAGCACATGAGCTTTGTAGGGATAGTAGAGAGAAGAGATTCTGAGCAGGGACTGGGGGGGGGGTCTGCCACTTACTAGCCATGTGACCTTGAGGCAGTGCTCATCTCCTCTGAGCCTCAGTTTCCTCATTTGCAAAGTAGAAATAATGGTACCTACTCTGTGTGTTGATTGTGAGGATTAAATGAGCTAATATGTATATGAAACACTTAACACAGCACCTGGCATATAGTAAACATTCAATAATGTGAATGGTTTTCTCTGTACTCTCAGCATCTGGTGCCTTAACTTTTTTTTTTTTTTTGAATCAAATTGAATAATGTAAATGAAAAGGATCTCATTTCTTGGAGTCTGTTTGTAGGTACAGCTTGTACTGTTTTACTAAGTTAACTGATTGCATGTAAGTTAAATTTAAATTTTTTAAATTAAAACATAATTTCTTAATCTGTATGAATGAAAGAAGCTATTCTTTTTCCCCTATGACCAGTCTTTTTAGAGATTTTAGGGTTTTTTTTTTTGAGATTTTGGTTTATTTGAATTATTATTACTTTAGATTACTGTTTACATTTTTTAGTCATTCTTTTGAATTCAGTCAGTTGATAAATGTGGCAGCCAGAAAAAAGGGGCCTGAGATAGCAGGCAGATGTATGTTCAGCCAGCGTCCCTGAGTCCAAAACTGAGTCCTCCGAGCTTACCCAGTTCAAAGGAGGGGACCAGAAAGGAACTCTGGAAAGAGTGGGCACTAGACTCAAGTCCCTACTTTTGTCATTTACTAGCAGTATGGCTTTGGCCAGGTTACCCATCTCTCTGATCCTCATTCCCCTCATCTGCACACTGGTCCCTACTCTTTGGATGGTGATGAGGATGACACATTCTGCCCACAGGGCAGGCGCAGTGCCTGGCCCTAGAAGGTGCTTAGCAGATGTGACTGCTCTGCAGGGATGGGCAACTGGGTTTTCTTCAGCAGCTGCTGACGGAATGCCAGCCATGTTTTGGGCCCTGTGGTTGATCTGAAGTGTGTGGGATGAAAGAGGTGAGCCAGGAAGGGAATTAAAGTGATGGGGAAAACAGCGTGGCGTGGAGAAATAGGGGAAAGGTGTTTGGAGCTTGGGAACAACATCAGGAAAATTGTAGAATCAGATGAAAGGGACAGTGAGTGTTAAAGGAGAATATAAATAAATTGGTTGGAAAACTTCTTTCTCTTCCCCAAATTGATGAACCATTTGGGAACTTTCTGAAAGATTTTAAACCCACAAAAATCTAAAATGTGATTGATACTTAATTTTACACATTTGATTGATATTAAAATAGTCTGGATATACTTTTGTTTGAAGAGATTGTAATTTTGTTTTATCTTAGTCTTTTCCTCTCTTAACATTTTCTTTTTCTTTTCTCAAAGGTGGCAGAAAGGGCACTCTATTATTGGAATAATGAATACATCATGAGTTTGATAGAAGAAAACTCTAATGTCATCCTTCCCATCATGTTTTCCAGTCTTTATAGGATTTCAAAAGAACATTGGAATCCGTAGGTTTTCACAGTTTGTTCGTTCGTTCGTTCGTTCGTTCCTTCCTTCCTTCCTTCCTTCCTTCCTTCCTCACCCCCTCCCTCCCTCCCTTTCTCCCTTCCACCCTCCTTCTCTCCTTCTTTTCCTCTTTTTTGGCTTCTCTTCCTCCCTCTTCCTCTTTTGCTTAATAAAATGTCTTGAGTGCATGCTGTGTGTCAGACGTTGTTGCTGAAGATAAGTGTGTGAAAAGTTAAAATCCCTACCTTTTAGAAATTCCCTGTTTGGGGAGACCCACAGTTAAACCAGTATTTTATGAAACAGTATTTTAAGTGCTGTTATGTTTCCTTGTCTGTTTACTTGAGGGCTTCCTAATCCGTCTGTGCATGTAGCTGAGCTGCTTTGGGGATGCTCTGGATCAGGAGGAGGAGTTTGTGGGTATTTTGGAGCGATGATACTCAGACTGAATTTGAAAAAAATCTGGCAGGTGCATGGGAGAGGGGTGTCCATTCAGATAGTGGGTCTATCCAGTACATGAAAAGGCACAAAAAGGTAAAAAGCACCTGTCACGTTCTGAGACCTGTGAATTTGGGAGGGCTGAAGCACAAGATTGTTTGAGGGAGGTTGCTGGAAGATTGGGTTAGAAAGTGGAGTGGGGCACACAGGAGTCTTCACCAAGTGGATGCTAAGCAAACATGAAAGAGGTGCAGGAAGGGAAGTTGTCTGAACTGGTGTGCATTTTGGCAAGCATTTCTTAAAAACCAGCTCAGTCAATTGTATGTGTTCTCTAGGGGGGTGGGAAATAGTTTAAAATATTCAAAGAGAAGTTTATCATCTCGTCTCACAAAAGTTACAGCATTCTGTATTTGAATGGCTTTACATATTTCTCTAAGAGAGAGAAAGAAAATTTAATGTGGCATTAAAAATTAGATATAATTCAGTATATTCATAGTATGTTTGTCTAAAAGTTTTGCCTACAATTATAATATACCGTCTTTCCCACTTTTCAAAAATGTTAAAGTTTATTACTAAAATTCATAAAAAAATAAGAGCTGGCAGACAGTGAAGTCTCATTATGTAGTCTCTGGAGACCCTCGAGAGTGGTTCTGGCAAGTGTCTGTAACTGCTTAGTAGGCTGGCTCTTCGCCATCATTGCCCATCGTATTTCCAAAGGGAGGTAATCAGGTTTATTATTCATTCTTTCATTCATTCATTCAAGTGGTGGACCTGGGGATTGAACCCAGGATCTCGCGCATGCTAAGCATGTGCTCTACCACTGAGCTATATACCCTCCCCACCCTGGGAAATGCTATTTAGACTCCAGTCTGAAGACACCAAGCCCATAAGGGCAGAGTCCTCATGTTGCCAATAGCTTATTCTTCCCCTTGAGAAGCATAGACTGCCTTTGGCTCTTCAGCTGTATAGTATTCCACAGCTAATCACAGCCACCACCAGGTTGCCAGCCTTACCAGCTGATGTGTTGGGTCAGCAGGGGGACTGAGCAAGAGTGGGTGGACTGATGCAAATCACAACTGGAAGTGCAACTCATGTTAAACTGCCCAACTTAAGGGGCTTGGTATCATCTTCGAATATGAATTGTGTAGATATAACATTGGTTACCATGGAAATAGCCTTTGATTTTGACGAATTATGTATATTACCACTTTAAAAATAAAATTCTATGCAAATTCAGGTCTCGAAGGTTGGTCTTACCACAGGTGCTGATTTTTAGGGTGAAGGTGCTTTGTTTTTATACTTGCCTTTTTATTAAATGAAGTTATCAAGTGCCCACTGGCAAGTCTATTCTGGGCACCAATAATTAGAGGGGCAAAATTAGATTTTCTTTTTCTAATCCTGCCAACCCCTTAGAAAGATATCTTGCTTTAAGAATGGTACTCTCTTGATGTGGAAATGAGTTGTAGGTCATGAACTAAAAAGGGAGGGAGACCGTGCAACACGAGGGACTCTTTCAGACACAGGCCATGCGTCCATTTTCTTCAGGCAGCATCCCGTTATGTAAGACCAACCAACACGTTCTCTTCTCTCTGCTTCCAGGGCCATCGTGGCGTTAGTGTACAATGTGTTGAAGGCATTTATGGAAATGAACAGCACCATGTTCGATGAGCTGACGGCCACATACAAGTCAGATCGTCAGCGGTAACTTTTTAAAGCTTTTTTGTCAGACATGCCTAAAACTCTTGAGTTCTTTCCCCACTCTTTGCTGAACTTGCCTAATTGTATCTGAAAGCGTAAGCAGCACAATTTTATTTATTTAAGTATTCGTTTTCCCATACTCATTCGCTGTATCTTTATTGTGTGCCCCGGGGTAACAAAGTGTCGTTTTGCAAAAGGCCGTGTTCCTTCTTCCGTTTGAAGATAAGGATGATGATGATGATGATGATGATGATGATGATGATGATGATGATGGTGGTGGTGGTGATGTGTCTCTTCTGCCTCAGGGTTAAGAGCCTGGCACATAACTGATATTTCAGACCCACTTAAGGGGGCCGTCAGGTAGTTTGCCATCTGGATCCACTCCCCTCCTGAACTAGCACGGGGCTGATTAGTACTTCACTCCAGCAGCAAGAGAGAGATGAAGCACCATTTTTGTTTAGCTCTTTGACCCAGAACTTACTTTCTGTACTAGAGCCCAGCAAATATTCCTTGTGACTTAAAGGGCAGTAGAAAGAACAGGGAGGTGAAGAGTCTGATATTACGCAAATCTTTTTTTTTATAACATGGTAAAGAGATTTTTATTTCCGGCAAATATTTAGCAAAGCAAAACGTTTCTTAAATAAATCTACCAATTTCCTTTTTTGTATTTTCTCCTCTTTTATTTTCCTATTTCCCTCTTTTCTCTGTTCTCCATAGTTAGATAAAGAGAAAACATCTCTTTTAAGTAATTATTTTAAAATACCAATCAAATGAATGATTTGGTAGTTTGGTTTTTTTTATTTAACAAGTTTATTCTAGGACGAGCAACTCATTGAGAGAAAAACCATTTAAGAATTTACATATATGTACTGTTCATTGTTTCTATGAAAAATTTAGAGCTTTTTTAAACTTACATAGTTATCAAAGGAGTAAAGCCAACCGCAAAATAAGAATCAACAGAATGCAGTAATCCAATCATAAAGGACAGTCAAATGTGCTTACCCATATTCAAAAAATCAATCATCTAAGTTATAAATAATAAGTTCACTTATGCCCCCTTTTTTTAGATTCCACGTGTAAGTGATGTCATATGGCATTTTTCTTTCTCTTTCTGGCTTACTTCACTTAGAATGATGATCTCCAGGTCCATCCATGTTGCTGCAAATGGCATTATTTTATTCTTTTTTATGGCCAAGTAGTATTCCATTATAAATATACCACATCTTCTTTATCTGGTCATCTACTGATGGACATTTGGGTTGTTTCCAGGGCAAATCTTGAAATGTTTAAGATCAAAAGGGAATAGAAACCAGCTGAACTTTGTATAATAAATGCTTCTGGCTTAGTAAGTCTCTTTCCTTTTCCTTTTCCTTTTCCTTTTCGTTTTCCTCCCCTCCTCCTCTCCTCTCTTCTCTTTCTAAAAAGACAGAAGTCTATGTCACTGTCATGTAATAGTCCAAAGAGAATGCTCCAGGTCACTTAGGTACCCAGGTTCTTTCTATTTTGTCGTCTCCTATGGTGTTTTCCTTATCTGCAAGGTTGAAGTTGGGTTGCAGGCAATTCTAGCTCTAGAGAAAGGAGAAGACCTTGGAGGAGCACGTATGTAATATTTTAATGACTGAGCCTGGAGTTATACACATCATTTCTTACTTTTTTCTTTCCTTTTTTTTTTCTTGGCATTCTTTTTTATTGAAGTATATAGTCAGTTTACTGTGTTGTGTCTGTTTCTGATTGTACACATCATTTCTGCTTATAGCCTTGTGGTGAGGAATTAGTCACTGGACAGGCTGGGAGTTAGTAAGCCTTTCTTGATTTCATTTACATGATCCTTGAATTTTGTTATTTCTTGTTCAATATGTCCAGCTTTCTGAAAGAAGTTGTTCTAGTGCATTAGGGCGGCTACAACAAAGTACCACATTATGGATATTTTAGTGGTAGTTTATAAACAACAAAAATGTATGGCTCACAGTTCCAGACTCTGGAAGTCTGAGAACATGGTGCCAGCGAGGTAGGATGAGGGCGCTCTTTCTGGTTCTTACTGGTGCCTTCTCACTACGTCCTCACATGGTGGAAGGGGCAGGGGATCCCTGCGGGCTCTCTTTCATAAGAGCACTGATCCCATTCACGAGGGCTCCACCCTCATGACCTAATCATGTAGACCCCACCTACTAACACCATCATCTTTTGATGGGGTTAGGATTTCAACACATGAATTTTGGGGGCACATAAATAGTCAGACCCTGGCTGGACTTTCATCTACCGTGAAAGTCCATGTTTCATGTCCTCTGGAGAGCTTGTTAATAGTTGAATGTCTGGTTTGGCTTTTCTCATCCAGAAGCAAATGTCAGCTTTGTGTATATTATAAAACCATAGTCTTTCGAGGATCCCGGAGTGTTCAGGACCTTGCTGAACCTCCTGAGCAAAACTACTTGTGGTTCTCTTGTATCTTTGCCTGATTTTTAATGTGTTACTTGCATTTTGGATGAAAAGAGCAATGAGAGGAAAGATTTGTGGCAGAGAACAAAGGACCATCAAAGTGATTTTTTTTTTCGATTATCAGGATGTGGTATATTGAAAAGCAACTTAATTATGGAATATGGCAAGTATTTAACAGTAGACAGAAGAGACTGAAAATTTTTTCTACCATATTGAAATAAATATCAGTTATTGAATATGTTGTACCACACTTGGAATTTAAAGAGCTTTTAATTTACTAAATTTATCAAATCATTATGCAAATAATTAAATTTATAATACTATCATTATTAAATTTATAATACTATCATTAAATTTATAATAACCCTCCAAGTTCCAAACTTAAAATCTTGTAAAAATATTATTTAAGTAAAGGAGGTACTGGGTACTTTTTCATATTGTAACGTATCATTAAAGACTGCATTGTACGTAATATCCTTTACAGCAACTGAAAACCCATTTTTATTGTTCTAGTTGAATACAGATCATATATGTAGAACCCCATTAAGACTATTAAAGACCTTACTTCTAAAATGTTCAAAATGATTAAATTAAGCCCATTTATCTCTATTGAATTTCAAAACTGTTTTTTGATCATTTATCATTAAAACTTAGTAGGCCAAACTCTTGAGAAAGATAAGAATTAACCAAGGGGACAAGGAAGAGACACTATAAAGTTGATTCTGATAATCTGACAGATTACAGTGACTTACAGTGAGTGGACTTTCTTAATGACAGAAGCATTTTTTTTAAAGCCAGGGTAACATTTGGTTCTACGAGCAGTAGAAAGTTGAACTGAATAGATGGAAATGCTGATTTTTCCATAGATGTGGGACTAGGGAAAGAATAGGGACTTATTTGGTATTGTCCAAGAAGAACTGAAAGGAGGATTTCACTTCTGGAAGGCAAGAAATTAGTCCTTGTTTCAGTTCCGATCAGCTTTTTTTTTTTTTGAGTATTACAAATCTGAAAATGGTGGGTGGAATAAGTAACTAACACATATGCCAGCAATGGTGCTCTGTGACACTGAAATTGGAAGAGAGTTTGACATCACCCCTAGTATGACAATGTGGTGAAGTTTTAAATTGCCACCTACAGGGAGAGAGAAAAGTGGGAAAGGATGGGGGTGACAGTAGCTATATCAGAAATATTTAGGATTCTTGAAGATAAAGTTGTCAGTATGAACGATGTATGATAACTCAGCAAAAAGTTCATCTGGAAGAAAAGCCCCACAGGACAGACTGCATCGAATGCCGTGTAACTCTTCATCAAAGACTCGAGTGAAACGCTTCAGGAACAAGATGATGTATACTTTAATCATGTCAGCACTTAATTTAAGTCTGTAAATTAGGGCCTTAAGAACCTAACGTATGTTTAAGCTGGGTTTTTTTTGAATAAAGTCCCTAAGCCCTTGCTTACCATCTTCCTCCTTCTCCAGATAAAAAGGTCACATGCATTGAAATGCAGCAGGATCTGTAGAATTCACTCAAATGTACTTAAATCTGTATTCTAAAACCAAACAGCTTGCTTTACAGTTAAGACTTTCAAATTCATAGTGCTTGGAGAATTATCTAATTATCTGATCTTATCTCTATTGCCCTATTAATAAAATTTTTCAGAGTCAAAATGATTAAATAGGAAATTGTTTTAAAAACTATTATGCCCACTGAAATTTGTATTGTGCAGATTTTGTGTGAGCTAGTTAAAACTAGTTGTACTAAACAAGGCTTAAATTAACAAAATAATAAAATGATAATATTAATTACTATATTATATAATTAAATATTCCCTCAATACTCCAGGGGATTGAAAATGTAAAATTCCTTAGATATTTCTAGAGATGTTTTGGAGGAGGATGAAGATTAATTTCTGTTGCTATAGATATCAGTATAACTTAAAAAGTTGGTGACGACATAAAAAATATGAGGCAGTGGATTTATACACAAACTTCACATAACCTATGTGGCTTTCCTTCCTTGAGTAAACACTGCACTGTTACTGAAGTTAAATTCTTAGTAAGTGAACTAACACAAGGACCATATCCATCATGCCTGGTGTAGCAGAGCCCCTGTTTTCAGGAATTATCTGAATTTATGGATTCACAAATGTTACCTGGATCTACCGTTTACTAGTTCATCAGAACATGAGAAAACTAGGGACACAGTGCAGTGAATTATTTTTAATAAAAGCAACTTTATTTAACTTACAGTATAGCCACATATCCCGGATTGTATACTTACTACTTTATTGTTGTTAAAATTAACATCCATTCTTTTAAAAAAAAATATAGTCATCTAAAAATGTCCGTGGCAAAATAAAGTTTGTTTACCCTATTTTGGACATCCAAGTTTTTGGTAAATTTTACCCAACAGTGAATTCTGGAAAGTCTGGAAATCGCTAGTCAAACTGATACTGAGCCAAATTTGAAGGCTTGGAACTGTAAAAATGTAATACGTAAAGATATCAACAAGGTTCTACCTGGTATTAAAACTGAACTCATGGAAGAAAGAATAGTTAATTTGTCTGAGCATATAGGTATAAAGTAAGTTAATAATTTGGATTTTCTGGTTTCCTATACATAATTTAGGAAAAAAGTGGATACTAAAAGAAAAAGTATATTTTTTTGACCTACTGTTTCTCTGTCTCAGTGTCATCTCTAGCATCCCTTTGGAGAAACTATTTGGGGACAAAGAGAAAATTAGATTTGAACTAGACCCCCCCCCAAGTGAAAATTACTCATGTGCTGTTGGTTTTAGGGTAACAGATACGTATAAATGATCCTCTTATGTGTTTCTCAGTAATTTTGAAGTCTATTTTCTTCATTAAACTAAATGTTAAGGAATACCAATGTGAAATATTAAAATATTCTTGTCATCTCCTACCCTGTTCATTAATACTACTTTTGTGTCTATATAAATGTCAAGAAAAAAAAAAAAAAGAGGAAGAGAGAAAAAAATCAAAAAAGAAAAAACACCCACAAGCTTAATGCCAAACTTTTCAAAGACCCTTTAAAACCATACATGGGGAAAAGTATGTCAAAGGGGCAGTTATTGTTAGATAATCTCCTTAAACTTTCTCAGTTGTTTACCCTGTCTTCTATTTTTTTCCCCAGTGAGAAAAAGAAGGAAAAGGAGCGTGAAGAATTGTGGAAAAAACTGGAGGATCTGGAGTTAAAGAGAGGTCTTAGACGTGATGGAATAATTCCAACTTAACAGGAATAATGACAACAACATTACTAACCTGTGGAGTCACACATTTATGTAGTAGAAGATGGAGCAACAGTTTTCTGTATTGTGCAACTTTTCAGTAGATTTCACATTTGTTTCATTATTACAACAGCACTGTATATACCTGTCTCTAAGTAAAGGAAAAAAAAAATAAGGACTTCAATCCAAAGTTTGGACAGTAGATGGACTTCTCAGAACTTGGCAAACATAATCATTGTTCTAACCCTCTTTAAAAAAAAAAAGCAGTCTTCAGAGATCTGTCGATGAAATTGCTGTGTTAAAATTCCATTATCGGGAGTTCCTTATTTATCATTAGCAGAGAGTATGAAACAGTTTTCAAATGTGAAAATCTTAAATTTAGCTTGTCTTTCTGCTAAGCTGTTAAATGTATTTATAGTAAAGAAAGAAAAAAAAGACTGTCATTTCCTTATCAGTTTGTATAACATCCTCCTCTGGATAACTTGACTGTAATTTGACTTCTTTTCCTTTTGCACATCTTCATGAATTGAATGTCCACATGGAGTGGGGCCATGAATTTTAAAGGTCCCTGGTAAAAGTTTTGTTTACTGGAGTGAACATCTTTCCAGTAACCAGGTAGTCCTGGTACTCCTTTAGTTTGAAAATTAGGAGTAAAAGAGAACAGGTGATAAACATAGTAGGGAAGGGAATGTTGGATTCATGCATCAGTTTATGGTGAATCCAAATCAATGTCTTGAATCCTTTGAAAACAGGCACTGGGACATCATAGGCTTCAGTACCTGAGCAGTATTACTTCCGTACATCATTGAACACACAAACAAGAGATGTTCTAAAAATGTCAGAAGACATCCTTTTGGACCATTTTGAAATAAAGAGAAACACTAAATAGTACAACCATGAAATTGATTGCCAGGATTGCAAATCTAATTGGGAATAGAGTTGAATGGACAGCTTGGACTGTTTGGAGTTGTTGCCTTACTTTTTAATATGTATTTATAAAGTATTCCAGCAGAAGAGGATGTAGCCTCTGGGGGAAAAAAAAAACCAAACATATTACAGTGTATTTTGTAGATTCTCGTTCTATATCCCATCACAGCGCCAGCCCTGTTTTTAGCCAGAAAGGATTCAGGATAAACATTATGCATTCTGAATTGGATGCATATTCCTAACTACTGTATTTGTTACCAAAAGTGGTTCTACAAATGCTACTGAAAAAAAATCTGGAAATTCCTAATGTCCTGAGTATTAATAATAAAGTTTAAAAATGCTTTTATATCAAAGGTGCATTGTGACCAAATTGTTTAAGAAGAAAAAAACCAAACAAAACAAAATCTAGGGCTGTACTATAGATCTGTCTCATTGGCTCTCTGCTTTGTATTTAGAAGAGGAATCTTACATCTTGGGGAGTTAAAAGTGCTGATAAAACATGTGTACATTATGTACTTAACCTAATGCAGTTGCATTATTGTGTACTGAAAGACGTGTTTAGGGAGTTATTTCCAGGATGCTTTTGCTTGTTACGGACGTGGCGGCAGCAGTGAGTTGATAATCCTAAACCATCACTCCCAGCAGTATTCGTGATACAGAGCTGATTCTGCATTCATGTGTTGAATTGTGATAGTAGCAAACAAGAACATATGAACTCTCGTTGCTCCTAATAGAAATGGTATCAGTATGGGCTTGTATGTTTTCTTCCTTCCATTTAATATATAAGGCAGAATATGCAGTTTTATTCTTTCCAAGAAAAAAAGGAAAAAAAAAAAAGCCGCTGACCTTTCTCCCCTGTTAAGTGTTTCAGGATTATCAGGTCACAGTTTGTGCGTTAAAGTCAGCTGATTATGGATGTTGTCATCTCAATAACTTTGTAAAACAAACACCAAACTTGGCATTGTTAATTCTGAAAAAGAAACAGCAGTAAAAGAGTCGTATGCAATACCAAAACCAACATGGTTTAGTGGAATTCGTAGATTTTATTTTTTTTTGAAAGAACAATGTAAAATTGGCAGGGGCTGCCAAAGGTGAAATAACTTACCTTAAAAGTGCTGGAGCAAAAGTGCAAGTTCAGATGCTAAAGGTAAAAATAAATTTGTCACAAATCATCTCCTTTACCTCTTTTGATTTTAGCCCATTAGTTTTTACTCTGCTTTACATTTAATTTTGACAGTATAAACTTTTGTTGGCCATTGATTCGTCTTTGTAGATAGAGGACATTAACATCACAGGTTTATGAAATACCTCTGCCCGTTAGAATGAAATGCAGTCATTTGAAATGAGAAAGACCAGGTTCCTTTTTTACACCTTACCCTGTCCTCAGAGTTAAGGTGAAAGTTACACAGCTATCCTTGATGTCAGTTTTGTATGTTGATCATTCCAAACTGAGAAGCATAAAGCCAAATTTTAGACGTACTTAAAGAAGCTCTTATGGATATATATCTAAAATTCATAGGGCAACTTCTGAGAAGAAACACTGTCTTTTCTTTTTTAACCGAAAGTGACAATGTGACATTTGTCATGTTGTGTCCAGTGACGCAGAGTAACTGACGTAATCTGACTGTTGCACTATGTGACATATTTAAGGACGTACTTGCTGCATTTGCAGCAGCCCTCTCTCTTTGTCCTTTCCCACGTTTCTGCTGTTGCTGCAACTTGAGTTAATTGTGACAAATGCATCTTTGTGTTATATTTTGTTTGCTTCATAATTTCCAGAACTATATATAAATATATTTTTTAAATAGCAAATATTGTAGTTAGTGAGTGATAATCACTCCACCCTTATCCCTACCATATTGGTTTCAGGGGTAGGATGATGAGTGTCTTTGGAAGAGAAAAACAAAAAACAAAAACAAAACCCTCTGGTTTAGAAGGATGCTGAGGCCTTAGGCTGTGGGCCTGGAACAACCATGTTGAGTGAATTGACCCATCTCATACTTTGAATCAAGCATGCATTCCTTTTCTCATTGTGCAAGTGTCCCGAGTTGTTTTCCTTCGGTGTTTAGTTTTTGTCCTTTTAAATTTTATTATATTTTGCTCTCCCTAACATGTTTTTTTATAAAATAAAATAAAAAATTTTAAAAAGTAAGAAATAAATAATACCCTCAATGCCTCTGGATACTCACAAGCAGGGTGATGCTCCTTCATCTTGGGCTTCTTGCCTAAATGGAAGGGTTTAATTTATTTTGTACCTCCTTCTATGTATGGGACAGTCCAGGGTGCAGAGCCAGGAATTGCTTGTAATTGCACCTGCTATACGTAAATATGTAGCCCTAGGCTCAATCACACCATGGAAAGAAAAAAAAAGTATATTCAGAGCTTTAAAAGCTTTTTTATTTTTTTGTGGGGATGGGGTGGGTGGGAGAGGGAAGATGTATGGATATTATTGGCATTTTTAAGTGTTCAGAGGTTCCCTGCCCCCTTCTGTTTTTTTTTTTCCCTTTAATTGGATGCACTGACCTGGCCCAAGAAATGAAGAGATTCTCTCTTTTGATGCTGTTACCAATGTTATCACAAAGTGACAGTCACCTAAAGCAAAAAGGTGGCACCAGACATGATCAGTGATATTTTATTTGCACATCAATATTTTTATTTTTATATTCTGGCTCAGCTGCTTCTCTGAGTGGAGTTAAGGAATGAGCCACAAAGGATTTTTGTAGTAGCTATATTGGCAATGCATTTTATATTTCTCAATATTTAATTCTGAAAACTCTGAAAGGATTGTGCATCTTGGGAGAAAGCTGAGCAAATTTTAATCTAGTGGAATGTTAATTTTTGCTGCTTCTTGTGCACGATAGCAGCGGTAGTATCTCTTGGAAATAAACATCCCATATTATGATGTCCATGAATATAGGTTTCCTTTTCTCCCCTCCTTCCTCCCCACCCTCCCTCCCTCCCTTCCTTCTTTCCTTCCTTCCTTCCCTTCTCTTTCATTACTTTTTTTGGAAATCACTTATTGTATATAAGTTGTAATCCAGACCTCATGTATCAATGGGGAACTTTCAAATATAAATACTACCAATACATTTTCTGATTGTTGTCTGATTTTTGACTGAGGTATAATGAGAATGACATGTCCATTGCTTTTGGTTTGAGGATTTCGCTTTAGCTTCATAGATCTTTTGGTATTTTAGTATTTCATTGTTTTAGCAGGAGAGGGCAGCAGAAGTTCATTTTCCCTGTTAGAAATGCTGTGGTTCATGATTGGTTTTAAATTTAGTTGTGTGTGTGTGTTCTTTTAACCAGCATCTGTTTGTGGGTAGAGGTAAAAATGAAGCATTTTTGATGTGAAAAGTTGCATATGAAAATGATAGACTGATTCAAGCAGACAGTGAAGACGTCTGATCCAACATCAAAGTTAAAATGCCACAAAACAATCTTCCAGTGCTGGCTAAAATATGCTACTTCCTTTTCAAACACAACAAAATGCAAGCCGAGTCTTATAAACACTTGGAATTTAAAATGTCTTTCTTTGAAAATGATTTACTTTCTTCAAAGTGGTAACAGGAACAACAATGAAGGTGCTCCCGAAGGGAACTGTAACCTTCCCCTTTCACAGCTGTGTGAGAGGTTCTGTACTGTGGGTGCATCCTAATAAAGAAGCAGTGAAGAGTTTTCAGGTGCCTGGCTGTGTTTGTTTGTCTGTTTGTTTCTGACCTCCGTGGCCTTTTAAAAACATACAAGTAGTAGATTTGATCAACGTAGCTGTGAGGCAGTGGGGTTGGTTGGTACGTTCAGGATTTCATCTTGAGAAAATCAGCTTATGATTAGGGAATGGTTCAGTGTCTATTGCTGGATAAGAAACTACTCCAAAACGTGGTGGCAAAACCCAGAAGTTGTTTATCTTGTTCACAAGTGTACAGTGTGGGCAGGAATTTGGCAAGAATGTCTTGTCTCTGCTACTTAAGCATCAACTTAGGTTTATCTACTGGGTCAGGAGAACTCGCTTCCAACATGGCCTACTCATATGGCTGGCAAGCTGGTGTTCGCTGTTGGCTTGGGGTTTAGCAAGAGGCCTCAGTTCTCAACATAGGCCTCCTTAGGGGGCTGCCTTCTTGGGCTTCCTCACAGTGTGACAGCTAGGAATGATTGTTTTAAGAGACAGGAAGTAGACGCTGCCAATTCTTTAAGGCCTGGGTCCGGAAACTGTCGTGGCATCCCTTCTG